CACCAGCGCAGAAAAAAAAATCATATTACAAGAACACATTGGTATTGAAGGAACTAGATACTGTTCTGAAATATCACTTACTCGAACCGTCCTGACCGCGTAGCTCAGTTGGAAGAGCATTGGGCCAGTATTCCAAAGGTCGTAGGTTCGAATCCTACCGTGGCCGGGCACATTTTTCAAGCTCGCCCGGTGTGGATATCCACTCAGAGTAACATGGCAAACATATTATTCACCTGAGTACACAACACCAACACAGAGAAAAAAAAAATTCATATTACTAGAAGATATTGGTATTGAAGGAACCAGATACTGTTCCGAAATATCACTTACTCGAACCGTCCTGATTGCGTAGCTCAGTTGGAAGAGCATTGGGCTAGTATTCCAAAGGTCGTAGGTTCGAATCCTACCGTGGCCGGGCAAATTTTTGAAGCTCGCCCGGTGTGGATATGCACTCAGAGTAACATCGCAAACATATTATTCACCTGAGTACACAACACCAACACAGGAAAAAAAATTCATATTACTAGAACATATTGGTATTGAAGGAACTAGATACTGTTCCGAAATATCACTTACTCGAACCGTCCTGACCGCGTAGCTCAGTTGGAAGAACATTGGGCTAGTATTCCAAAGGTCGTAGGTTCGAATCCCACCGTGGCCGGGCATATTTTTCAAGCTCGCCCGGTGTGGATATGCACTCAGAGTAACATCGCAAACATATTATTCACCTGAGTACACAACACCAACACAGAGAAAAAAAAATTCATATTACTAGAACATATTGGTATTGAAACAACTAGATACTGTTCCGAAATATCTCTTACTCGAACCGTCCTCACCGCGTAGCTCAGTTGGAAGAGCATTGGGCTAGTATTCCAAAGGTCGTAGGTTCGAATCCCACCGTGGCCGGGCATATTTTTCAAGTTCGCCCGGTGTGGATATGCACTCAGAGTAACATCGCAAACATATTATTCACCTGAGTACACAACACCAACACAGAGAAAAAAAAATTCATATTACTAGAACATATTGGTATTGAAGGAACTAGATACTGTTCCGAAATATCACTTACTCGAACCGTCCTGACTGCGTAGCTCAGTTGGAAGAGCATTGGGCTAGTATTCCAAAGGTCGTAGGTTCGAATCCCACCGTGGCCGGGCATATTTTTCAAGCTCGCCCGGTGTGGATATGGAATCAGAGTAACATCGCAAACATATTATTCACCTGAGTACACAACACCAACACAGAAAAATTCATATTACTAGAACACATTGGTATTGAAGGAATTAGATACTGTTCCGAAATATCGCTTACACGAACCGTCCTGACCGCGTAGCTCAGTTGGAAGAGCATTGAGCTAGTATTCCAAAAGGTCGTAGGTTCGAATCCCACCGTGGCCGGGCATATTTTTCAAGCTCGCCCGGTGTGGATATGCACTCAGAGTAACATCGCAAACATATTATTCACCTGAGTACACAACACCAACACAGAGAAGAAAAAATTCATATTACTACAACATATTGGTATTGAAGGAACTAGATACTGTGCCGAAATATCACTTACTCGAACCGTCCTGACCGCGTAGCTCAGTTGGAAGAGCATTGGGCTAGTATTCCAAAGGTCGTAGGTTCGAATCCTACCGTGGCCGGGCATATTTTTCAAGGTCGCCCGGCTGTGGATATGCACTCAGAGTAACATCGCAAACATATTATTCACCTGAGTACACAACACCAACACAGAAAAATTCATATTACTAGAACACATTGGTATTGAAGGAACTAGATACTGTTCCGAAATATCACTTGCTCGAACCGTCCTGACCGCGTAGCTCAGTTGGAAGAGCATTGGGCTAGTATTCCAAAGGTCGTAGGTTCGAATCCCACCGTGGCCGGGCATATTTTTCAAGCTCGCCCGGTGTGGATATGCACTCAGAGTAACATCACATACATATTATTCACCTGAGTACACAACACCAGCACAGAAAAAATTCATATTACAAGAACACATTTGTATTGAAGGAACTAGATACTGTTCCGAAATATCACTTACTCGAACCGTTCTGACCGCGTAGCTCAGTTGGAAGAGCATTGGGCTAGTATTCCAAAGGTCGTAGGTTCGAATCCCACCGTGGCCGGGTATATTTTTCAAGCTCGCCCGGTGTGGATATGCACTCAGAGTAACATCACAAACATATATTATTCACCTGAGTACACAACACCAGCACAGAAAAAATTCATATTACAAGAACACATTGGTATTGAAGGAACTAGATACTGTTCCGAAATATCACTTACTCGAACCGTCCTGACCGCGTAGCTCAGTTGGAAGAGCATTGGGCTAGTATTCCAAAGGTCGTAGGTTCGAATCCCACCGTGGCCGGGCATATTTTCAAGCTCGCCCGGTGTGGATATGCACTCAGAGTAACATCACAAACATATTATTCACCTGGGTACACAAGACCAGCACAAAAAAAAAATTCATATTACAAGAACACATTGGTATTGAAGGAACTAGATACTGTTCCGAAATATCACTTACTCGAACCGTCCTGACCGCGTAGCTCAGTTGGAAGAGCATTGGGCTAGTATTCCAAAGGTCGTAGGTTCGAATCCCACCGTGGCCGGGCATATTTTTCAAGCTCGCCCGGTGTGGATATGCACTCAGAGTAACATCACAAACATATTATTCACCTGAGTACACAACACCAGCACAGAGAAAATTCATATTACAAGAACACATTGGTATTGAAGGAACTAGATACTGTTCCGAAATATCACTTACTCGAACCGTCCTGACCGCGTAGCTCAGTTGGAAGAGCATTGGGCTAGTATTCCAAATGTCGTAGGTTCGAATCCCACCGTGGCCGGGCATATTTTTCAAGCTCGCCCGGTGTGGATATGCACTCAGAGTAACATATTATTCACCTGAGTACACAACACCAGCACAGAAAAAAATTAACATAGAGTACACATAAATTAACATTATAAGTTGTTATTTTCTATTTTTACAAAAACAAGTTTGGAAACAGGATCAAATCCTCCAGCTTGATGTCATATTCCATTTATTTGGATATTTGAATAAAGGAATGTGAAATAATAATTGAAACTTGACCAAAATTTGATACCAACACTCAAGTGAACAGATACAATCACATAAAATAAAAGAAAACAGAACCTAAATTTATCATCTAATACCATGAATAAATCTTAGTATAGATACTACATGCATATAGTGAGCACAACACTTTAACAAACTCACTAAAATAAGTTAAGTTATGCTATGATAAGAGGATGGCAATGTATGACAACATCAAATGTCACCATATTCAGTGTCCAAGAAAAGTGCGCGCGCATTTTTCATGGTCGCATAATTGGTATTGCCACAAACCCAAGTGAAAACGCAATTAGAAAAACCTGGTTTTGGATGATGAGCATAGTTAAATTCTTGACTTATTCAACATTCTACGTTATTCCAGGTAAACAGATTCAGCATTGAAATAAGCCCCATTCGTGACCTTATAGAGTCCAAAATATTGTGTATGGACCAGATTTTTTTCAATTTTTTGTGATTTACGTGACACTAGTTATAATATAAGGATCAACCGGTATTGTTCAAGGCATATTTTCCTTTCAGAACACCTTTCAAAATACTAACCAAAACATGTGAAAAATAGTGCAGATTTACAAGAGCAATTTCAACACTTTGGCACATTTTTCCTATGAATGATTTTAATTCTAGTAAATAGAGTATAGATAAAAAATTGAATTAAGTGTAGTTTCAAATGATGAGCATACCCTAATTTTTAAGCTATACCTCAAAGAAGATGGATCATTTCAACATAAACATTAAAATATGGGTATACTGACAGCTCTGTTACACTTGTAGTTGGCATTAGCCGCCCTACTGAAACATTTTAATAAAAATAATAATTTACAAAATTCACATTTTCACTTACTTCTTAACGTCTGTTTTAATCCAACTAACTCTGTGGGCACGAGCAAAATTTAGTGTTGATGTAAATATCCATTTAGTTCATGTTCTCTCGATGAAAATGTAGTCTATTCCAAAGCTGAAATTCGACGTACTTTAGCTTTTCAGAAACCGTTGGCATTCCTCAGTGAGATTTTCAACTGTTTCACAAACGTATTTGATAGTAAACAGCCAAAATATTCTCCGAAAGTCTATATTTTTGCTCTTTGACGCGAAAATGGCAACTCGAGAAGAAATGAGCCGCTATTTTTGGTCAGCGTCGACAAATTGCCCACGTGTTGTCCGGCGCCATACTGAATTTTGTGGCCGTGCCAGAAAAAGTCTGGTGACAAGGTGCACTGACGAATCTGAAACAGCCCAAACCCTGTAGCACTGAGTTCAAAATTTAAACAAAGCGTTTGTTTACATTACGGACTTTACAACATCTTTAAATAATTGTTATCTCAAAAATTGTTCTGGCTATGTCATTGTTGTCAATAAAAAGTCGGAAATAGCAAGGTTTAATATGTAACTATCGAAAGCAGTAAGTTGACGATGTTTGATCATGGGCGTACCGGAAGGAAAAAATTAGGGGGGCGGAAAGAAAATTGCCCAACTTTTCGGGATTCTGCCCGACTATTACCAAAAATTTTTTTCCGGAAAAATTATTTTGGCGACCCCCCCCCCCATCGCCAAAAAATTTTCGGTCAGTGTACCATTTTAGGGGTCAAAAAAATTTTCCGGACATACAATTTTTTCCGAACATAACACAAATTTTCGAAAAAACGCAAAATTAGGCAAAAAATTGACTTGATTTTAGACAAAATTGACAGAATTTGTCCAATTTTTTTTATTGCAAACCAAAATTGCCCGACTGTTGATCGAATATTGCCCGACTGCCCAAAAAACTGGGGGGGCTGCCGCCCCCCCCGCCCCCCCGCCCGGTACGCCCATGTGTTTGATATACAAGCTAGCGAGTACATAAGAAACCCGTTGCCAATTTCAGAAACTAGGAAAGCTGGTATGTGCAGCGTAAAAATGACATTAAATCTCACCTTTGCAGCTGGATCAACGAAGCCGTCTTCGTAGGCACTATTGTTATCAGTTGGCATTATTTATGTTATTACTTATAATGATTGTGCAGCCGAATAATTACAACTGTCCAAGGGATATAATGTAGATATCTACACAGTAATTTCAAAAGGGTTCATTTTGGCCCCCAAAGTGGGTCCAAAATTTTGACCTTGAGACGGCCCCATTTTAAGAGGCAGTCCGTGTAAAAACCGACTACTCGAATTTCTTAAGATTACAGATTTCCTTCAAACTTTCTGTGTGGAAGAAGTCATTCATAAAATGAACAAAAAACGTTGACTTGGAAATTGTAGTCAGTTTTAAAAATTTTTTCGAAATTTTTTTCGGACGCGTTTGAAAACAAGTTAAAACGTTAATTACGCAAGTGATATTTGAGCTTTTTTATATCTCACAGTTCATCTCGCGCTTTTATTCTAACTTCTTGAAACTTACATATTTTATTATTTCCTGCCTAGGCATAAACCTAAACTAAAAATTATGCTGGTCACTTGAAGCAAACAAAATATTGTGTATTTTTAAAAACGTCTTTCAGACAGCGGATTAAATATTCGTGTTAGTATGCTGGCGGTAAATTATTTTTTCTCAAAAGTGCAACGGTATCATGTATCCAATCTATTGCAGCTACTGAGTATTATGACACATCTACTAGAATAAAAAATAAAATCTTTGGGCAGTGTGTTTTTCACTTGACAAGCGCGTCATGAATATAGTTAATTTTCGCTAATTCGGCTAATTATAAGCTATAATTTGTTAATGCATTTACTTAAATTTTTCGCGTTAAAAACATACAAAATTGTTCACTATCTTTCAAATATGGCTGTTTTTTGGATAGAGACTAAGTTATAAATATGCCAGCATTTATGCTAGCTTTATAACATAGAGCAAAAGTCCTGACGCATGTGCCGACTGAAATTCACATGCACGCGTTGCTAATTTTATCCGCCGGTATTATCTTTTTATTATTTATCAGTGTATGAAAGTACTGTAAACATACTGATCTTGGTAACTAAAACTATATGCACCGATTTTCTCCGAATGTACACATCTATCACAGGAGAATATTAGAAGATAGTATATTATACAATTTATTAGAGAGTAATGTTTTTCGCGTGAAAAGCGGTTCATATGTAATCCCCGTCATCGCTTGAAGTCGGTCAACGCGTAATTTCAAGTTTTTCTTCGCTTTCTTAACAGTATATTTAAATCGTAAAATCATTGAAGTCGTGGGGGGGGGGGAGGTAAAATCCCCCCAAAAAAGTCAAGAGAGGGCCCAAATATTTTCGGGCAATATAGACCACAGCTCCTCCAATAGATATATGAATCCCGTACGCCTATGAGTATGCTACTATACATTTGTATTGCTCTCATGTGCATAGAGAGACAAGGTACGAAATTAGAATCTATAAACAATCAACTTTAAAGGTGATCTACAGTCCGATCTGCGCATGTGCACAAATGAGCCCACTTTTTATGATACAAACAGTTTAACTATGTTTTGAGTTCTTGAAAAGCCTGATTGTTGTTTCTTGATCATTTATTATACTCTAGAAGCTTGAAAATATAAATAGTTGTCGAATAAAGCTCAATATTTTGGACACAAAAATGTAAACAAAGTCTTTGTTTACATACGGACTGTAGATCACCTTTAATACATGCATGGTTGCGTATACAAAAACGTTTTGCCGTAAAAAACGAATTTCTTTCTTGTTGCTTTGAGCTATTAGGCTATATTAAAACCGACGAAACATGTAGTAAGCGTATATATTAAGTGAAAGTGAAACTTATTCTCAAACAAATACATGAACTAAGACTGCATGTCGTAATCTCTCTGAAAGGGCGAAGCAGTAACTAAAGGGTGTATATATAGAGGCATCTAACGGCAAGTGATTTAACGATCACACGGAGGGGTTATTAGAGACCTTACGATTTTAGGACGGCAACGCGACGACGACAGCCAAAACAAACTCCCTCAAATAAATGGTAGTATTAAAGCCCACTAATTGTTGTATATTAG